CTGGCCTGGAACTCACTATTGAGACCAGACTGGCCTTGAACTCACAGAGATCTGCCTGCCCCTGTCTCCTGAGTGCTGCTGCTTTCATTCTTGATTTTAATAACACATCTTTTTTTCTTGGCCAGTTTCCCTAAGCATTTGTCAGTGTAGCAGACATTACCAAAGAGCTTTTGGCTTTGTTGGTTTTGCTCTTTATTTCCCCTCTAATCTTTATTCACCTATGGTTTCGAAATCACATAGTCACTCGCCATAATGAGTTCGGGAATTTCTTCCTGCTTTCTCTTTTCAAGTGAGGAGAGGCACAGAAGCTCTGGAGAATCAGAATCAGCTGTGCAAAATATGCCACTGTACCTGAGCTGTTCTCTGTGCCTCAAAATAGAAAAAAGCTAAGCATTTAATGAATTTGGCTTTGGTTTCCACATTATGTCTAAGAATTAATTGCCTAGGAGGGTGAGCGTTAATCCTGGCCAGAGTTGATACTTCTTTTCTGGGGTGTGAATAGAGTTTCCTTCTCATGATAACTATTGCTAAGTACCTGTGTGGCAGACAGTGCTAAACCCAGCACCTTTCATGTAGAATGAATTTGAATAGTTTATGTAATAGAAGTGGAGGAAGATGAGTCTGCTAACTTTCTTTACTGCTGAGCTTCAGCTGCGTCATAGTTTTAAAAATTATTTATTTTTTATGTGTATGAGTATATTGCCTGAATGTGTATAAGCACACCTGTGTTGTGCAGTGCCTGAGGAGGCCAGAAGAAAGCATCAGATCCCCTGGGACTGGAGGATGGTTGTTAGCTGCCATGTGGGTGCTGGGAACTGAACTCAGGTCCTCTGTAAGAGCAGTCAGTGCTCTTAACCACTGAACTCTTTGCCCTGAGCCCTGCTACTTTTAAGAAAACAATTATTTTGGGGCTAGAGAGATGGCTCAGCCGTTAGGAACACTGGTTGTTCTTGCAGAAGACCCAGGTTCAAATCCCAACACCCACATGGCAGCTAACAACTGTCCGTAACTCCAGACCCAGGGGATCTGACGGCCTCTTCTGACCTCTGCGTGCATTGCACGACACAGGTGCACTTACCTACATGCAGACAATACATGCATACACATAAAATAAAAAAAAAATTAAAAAAACAGTTATTTAATACAAGTGAGAGAAAGGTGGCAGAAGCTAAGACTAAGAAAGACTTTTTTTTTGTATAGTTTTCAATCTCTTTGATACATTGGACAAGTCATACCCTTGGGGAAATCTGGGGAACCGTGGGAGGTGGTGTAGACCTTATACTGGGAGACATGATGGTATTATGGTCTCCCTTAGTCAAAGTTTTGCTTTCTGTTGTGTGTTACCTGTGATGGTCAGCCTTAATTGTCAACTTGACACAACCTCTTAATGAGGGACTGTCTACACTGAGTTGGCCTGTGGGCGTGTCTGTGAGGGATTGTCTTAATCACGTAATTGAGGAGGGAAGACAAGTGCAGGCCACACCATTCCGTGGGCAGGGGTTCCTGAACTGTGAGAATGAAGAAATCTAGCTGAGAGCAAGTGAGCATACCTGCATCTTTCCCTCTGTCTTGGCTCTTGACTGGGTTGTGATATGTGCAGCTGTTTCTGGCTCCTTCCACTGGACTTCCCTGCAGTGATGGACTGTGACCTGGAATTTTAAGCCAAGTAATTCTTTCTCCCCAGGTTGCTTTCGTTTGTTTTGAGACAGGGTAGCCCGAGCAGGCCTGAAACTTGCTATGTAGACTAGGCTGGCCTTGAACTCACAGGGGCCACCTGCCTCTGCCTCCTGAGTGCTGGGATTAAACTTGTGCACGACCATGGTTGTTTTTTGTCAGCATACTTTCTTGCAACAGAAATGAAACCACAGTAGTACACACTGCCAACCACAATCTGGAAATATTAAGTGGGAAATTCCTGAGATAATTCATTGGTTTTCAGCTGTCTGCTGCTCTGAAGAGCATGATGAAACCACTGCCCTGCTGTCCCGTCCCGTGGTGCCATGACTCCGTGTCCAGAAGATTCATTCCGTATGCTCTGTCCATTAGTCACCTAGCAGCCGCTTCAGGCATCACATCTGCAGTTAGGGGGTGCATCACAGTGTTTGTATTCAAATACCCTTTTACCTACCTTTTATTTTAATGGTCTTGGAATGCATCAAATAGAATCTGTGAAGTGCTTGCTTTCAATGCAGAGATGAAAATTCTTGATCTTTGTTTTGAGACAGGTTTTTACTATGTAACCCCAGCTGACCTAGAACTCACAGAGGTCTACCTGCCTCTGCCTCTCGAGTGCTGGGTGTAAGAAACATTAACTCTTAGTCTTTTCTTTCAAATCCTGTAAAACTTGGAACTTGGTTTATGACAAAGAATTCTTTTTTTTTTTTTTTTTTTTTTTTTTTTAGAAAGGGGGTTTGGCTGTATAGCTCAGGTTGCCCTTGAACTTGAACCAGGCTAGCCAATTTCAGAGCTCTACCTCCCTCTGGCCACCTAAGTGCTGGGACTAAAGGCATGTACCACCATGCCCGGTTCAATGACAAGAAATTCTAAACTGTTTTTTAAAACTTTTTTTATTTTAAAATTTTATTATTTTTATTTTATGTGTATATGTGCATTGCCTGCATGTAGGTAAGTGCACCCATGTCGTGCAATGCTGGCAATCAGAAGAGGCTGTCAGATCCCCAGGGCCTGGAGTTACGGACAGTTGTTAGCTGCCATGTGGGTGCTGGGATTCGAACCTGGGTCTTCTGCAAGAACAACCAGTGTTCTTAACCGCTGAGCCATCTCCAGCCCCAAGAAATTCTAGTCTTTTTATCCCATCATACCCTGTAAGACTTTTGTTTAAGTAAAGGCCCTGCTGCATTCCTGAGCCTGATGGCCTGGAGAGGTGGAGCTCTTCTCCTTTTACACTGATTATTTTAAACTAGCCACCCGGAAAAGACTGTGAGGTCTGTGAGGTCCAACCCCAGCTGGTCGGAAAAAGACACAGTTCTCTCGAGTTAGGAATAAAAGCCCACTGAATTTCCCAGTCCTGTGTGTGCTTGCTGGATCTGGCTGACCGTGTAAGACACCCTTTTGCAAAAGTAAAATCTGCCTTACTGAGCTACTTTATGCAGTATTGATGGGGTCCTTGGACTTCATATTTTATTTCTAACATGGGGTAGAGGTGTACGCTACCATGCCTGTGTGAAGATTCTTGATCTTATCATATGCATGTGTGTGTAGGAAAAAGCATCAGTGCTGTACTTAGTTTCAGGCTCTCACTGGGGCCCTTGGAATGTCCGCACGGATTGGGGTGGGGGGTACTCTGTTTTAGCACCTGTGAGCACTGAGGCCTGGGATTGGTGCAGGGTCATCATGTTCAGCTAGCACAATGCTTCCAAGCGCGTCTATTCCTCGCGAACAGTTCTTACCTTCTTTCACGATAGTTATGGTATAATTAACAGAACAGGGAGGTTGCATAATTTTGGACTGCGGCTGTTTATCTTCAGTCCCACCTTACTTCCCTTCCTAAGTAATGGTGAGGTGTTGCTTTGGAGACTACAGTTAGACTGCTGACAGCATCTCAAGATACAGCACATTTCCCAAGGAGAGTTAGGACCTTTAAAAGGCTTGTCTTCCAAAAGTCCCACAGTAGTTTACCTGTCCTTAGAAGAACTTTCAGAGCTGTGTTTTGCAGGCAGGGCCAAGACATTGAGACTCACTCCAGAGACCCTGCTGTGTTGCTCTGGAGACCCCAAGTGGTGCTTGCAAGGAGGGCTGAATAGCAAAAGGAAGAGATGCTGGCCAAGTATGTGGCTGGAAATGATGTGTGTTCTTGCATCTCTATATGAGTGTTCACATGCATGCTTGGCAGGGTTCCTAGTTAGTAAAACCCCAGATACTGCCAGATGTATGCTACTTCTAGGCTCTTAGAATTCAGTACACGGCTGCAAGAGAGGGGTTTGGGTGCAAATCCAGCTAGAGAATTTAAAATTTAAAAACATTAGTTTTATTTTATGTATGTGAGTGTTTTACTTGCATGTATGTAATTACATCTGTGCCATGCAATGCCTGCAGAGGCCAGAAGAGGGCGTTGGATCCCCTGGAACTGGAGTTAAGGATGGTTGTTAGCTGCCATGTGGGTGTAGGTAAACGAGCCCAGGTCCTCTGCAAGAGCAGCCAGTGTTCTTAACTGCTGGGCCATCTCTCCTACCCTGAGAATGTAATGTATTTATTTATTTTGAAACAGGGTCTCCCTGTAGCCCAGCTGGCCTAGAACTCACTATTGTAGACCAGGCTGGCCTCAATCTCACAGAGATCCGCCTGCCTCTATCTCCTGAGTGCTAGGCTTAAAGGTGTGCGCCACCATGCTTGGCTTGAGAATGTAATTTTAATCTGACTGACTGACTCAAATGATTTGTGCTTTCAGTTTTGATTAAGACCCTGTACTTCCTGTTCTGTACTGACTGCTCACATGTGCTTTGGAAAGCCTGGCAGGCAGTGTCCCAGGGCAGCTACACTTCCTGAAAGCCCTGAGCTTTCTTAGACTTCATTTGAATGCTGTGTGGGCTTACAGATGTATTGGGTGCCATTTGGCCTTCATTTCTGTTTATTTCTAAGGCACTTAAATTTAGAGAAAAAGGAGCTCATCGTTTAAATAAAAATTTAGTTAAAAAGAGGAAGTTGCTCACGGAGGTGGCACACGCTTTAATCCTAGCACTCGAGGTGACAAGGAAGGCCAGGAGTTGTTCAAAGGCAGCCTGGCTACATAGCAAGTTTGAAGCCAGCCTGGTCTACATGAAAACCTGTCTTAAAAGGAATTCAGTAACTGTCTCTTTGTTTACAGTCCCCACATTCATGTCTCACCTGTCCTCACGTGCACCCACACCTTGTAACATTTGTCACTATGATGTATAAATATTTTTTCTGTCTTTCTATACTTCATAAATACTTTTGCAAGTGCATTTTCATACTCTTATATAACATACCCAGTTATATAAACACTACTGTTTACTTCACAGAATGTGGAGGCTTTGGATCCACGAGGGCGGACATTGTTGCACCTTGCCGTTTCTTTGGGGCATCTGGAATCTGCTCGGGTCTTATTGCGACATAAAGCAGATGTGACCAAAGAAAATGGCCAGGGATGGACAGGCAAGTATACTTGGAACCCAGAGCCATTCATTTCAGTTTCTCTGGCGGTGATCTTCCTCTGAGTCAACTGTGTCTCTCTTGGGACAAAGGGCAGGTATGATAAGCTGCAGCAGGTTGCTGGTCTGGGTGGCCTGCCCTGGGTGGAGGTGATGTCTCTTTCAGAGATGGCCCTTCCCTACATACATGGAGGAGGCCAATTTTGCCCTGAGAATACAGGAGAAATCCATTGAGGTCATCAGTGTATGGGAAAATCAAAAAGAAAGAATGGCTAGAAATAGCTTCTTCTGTGAAATCCTGGCATTTTACGGTTTTAAAAGTGCTTACTACTCCTCACAGCAATTTTGTGTTGACTGAGCAAGGGTACTCCTAAGTGTAAGCTAAGCCAGGCCTGTGTGTAATCACAGTGGTGGCGCTGCAGTTTAAAGGGAGCTCTCTGGAAGCACTGTCAGGACTTCAGACATCAGTGGAAATAGGAACGGGAGTAGGATGGGGGGTAGTGGAGGCTCAGCCAGGACATTAAGTGTACTGTTTTCCTTTATATGGTGCTGAGTTAGCAATCAGAAGTCATGGTCATATTTGATAAAGTCATTCTCCAGCCTCTCTCCTTGAAGCAGATGTTGGTCTTGAATCTATACAGTTAGCTTTTCACATTGGCTTTGGAATTTATCAGAGAGCATAAGAATACTACGTAGTGAAACAGTTTTGCCCCTTTGCCTTTAGTTTTACATGAAGCTGTGAGCACAGGCGATCCTGAGATGGTGTACACCGTTCTTCAGCACCGGGACTACCACAACACATCCATGGCCCTCGAAGGAGTTCCTGAGCTGCTACACAAAATTCTCGAGGTAGCCATAAGACTGGTGTCTTAGTTTGTTTCTCCATTGCTGTGACAAAACACTCTGACCCCTACCAACTTGGGGAGGAAAGGGTTTGTCTTATATCTTCCAGGTCACAGTTCATCTGGGAGCCCAAGGTAGGAACTCAGGGCAGGAACCTGGAAGCAGGAGCTGGAGCACAGGCCATGGAGGAACTCTGCTTACTGGCTTGCTCTCCTGGTCCCTGCTCAGCCTGCTTTCTTATGCAACACAGGCCCACCTGCCCAGAGGTGGCACCACCCACAGTAGGATGGCCCCTCCCTCCCACATCACTCAACAATCAAGAAGGTGCCCCATGGACATGGCCATAGGCCAGTCCAATGAAGACAATTCCCCAATTGAGGCTCCCTCAACCCAGGTGTGTCAAGTTGACACTAAAGCTATCCAGCACAACTGTTCTTGCCATCCTATGAGCTAAACACTGCCATAGGACCTGGAGACACAGTTTGACACCCTTGTTCATCTTTTTTAAGTCTCATGAATAGTAAAGATACTTTGATTGCCAAATAGTGCTAGTCTCTGCCTATCTTGTTGAAGTATGAGACCTCTTACAAATTATGTTTCTAGGGCCTGGTGCTTACCTTTTTCAGTGCTGTTCTGTTTACTTTTCAATTGCTGTGAAAAAACACTGATCAATACCAACTTGGAGAGGAAAGGGTTTATTTATTTTTTTTAATTGTTTACTTTTACAGTTCATTACTGAGAGAGACCAAGCAAGGTAGGAACTCAGGGCAGGAACCTAGAGACAGGAGCTGAAGCACAGGCCATGGAGGAACACTGCTTATTGGCTTGTTCCCCTGGCCCGTGCTCAGCCTGCTTTCTTATACAATTAGAACAACTTGCCTAGGGGTGGCACTGCCCACAGTGGGCTGGACCCTCCCATATCACTCAAAGATTAAAAAAAATGCCCCTACATACATGGCCAAAGGCCAGTTCAATGAAGGCAATTCCCCAGTTTAGGCTCCCTCTAGCCAGGTGTGTCAAGTTGACAACTAATAGTCACAGTCGGTTGTTTTCTGAGCTCCTTGGCATCTGAGCATGGATATAAAGTCATCAGGTAGATTACAATGGTAATGTTTTTCACATCTACTAATTATTAAGGAGCAAATTTTTATGCTTTGAAGAATTTTTTTAATTAAAAAAAATTTAATAGCCACATTAGAAGAAGCATTTCATTACAACTTTAACATATTTACTAACACACTCCAGAGCAAGGATACATCTCTTTCAAAAGTGGCTGTAAATTTTTAGGTTCACAGTTAAATTAATATAGTTATACAATATTGAACTCAGTATAAGCCCTGTAATTTATAAGCCCACAAAATTGGATGAGTTTTTAACCCTTAAAAAAGATCTCCCTTGTATCGTCTCACCCCTCTATCATGGTTTTCCCACATAAGGTGTCCCCACTCCCCTCCTTTCTTCCTTACTAATACCCTTGCTCCTATGATCCGATGTCTGTTGAGCTTCTTCTTTCTCCTTATCCCCTAGGTTCCTCATATACCCTTCCCTCTCCCCCTCCCTTAGACTAACCCAATTTTTATCCATATCTCCCTTATTAAGGCCTGTTACCTACTATTCTTCTCCTGCAGGTTATTTCTTTTCCTTTACCTCACTGTTTCCTTACCCTTGTCCTGGTTCCTGTTTTAGAGTTGTAGTTGAATTAATACACAATATTGTACTCCGTATAAACTCTATAAGACATAAAATTAAATGAGGTTTTAAACTTTAAGAAAGATCTCCATTTCATTATTAAAATACAGTTTCATACGGAAAAATTCATTTTTAATACAATTGACACTAAGATGCACATGCGTTTCTAATCTCTATATATCTGATTATTACTAGTCACAGTCGGTTGCTTTCTGAGCTCCTTGGCATCTGAGCATGGATATAAAGTCATCAGGTAGATTACAATGGTAATGTTTTTCACATCTAATTATTAAGGAACAAATTTTTATGCTTTGAAGAATTATTATTTTTTTACTTATTTATATACCCACTTCCCAGGTAAGCACCCTCCCATAGCCTCCCTCCCCCTACTAGAGCCCTTATACTCTGATATCCCTGCTACTGTCTGCTGTGTTGTTGGCACCCCCAGCCATTCCCCACTACTTGCCCTTCTGGTGAATCTAGTCAGCTTATCTAGAGGTCTTTGTTTTAGGAGTGTCAGCTCTTCCTCATCTAGCGGTAATCAGTTGTCAATATTCCTTTAGATAAGATTGGGGTCTGCTGTTCAATTTCCCAGTTCTATGCTGGGTTACTATCTGGGAATCCCTTTGGCCACCCTGTTCAACTACTCAAAAGAAGGTGTCACCCGTCTGGCATTGTTGCTTGTTATGCTACATATGGACTCTTAAGAAATTATATTGGCCCCTTTAATCTTTGGTTATACTTTCCTTTTGGGTGTTTAAGGCCATAAAATTGGTCCAGATAAACCAATTTATTTTTACTCTTAAGGTCGTTTGAGGATCTGTTCCTCAGGGGTCACATGGGCTTGGGAGGAGCTCCTGGGTCCTTTTACCAGTTCCGCCTATGTGTAGATAAGTCAAAGGGCCTGCTCAACCATGGTTGGCTTTGCTTGGAAGCATGGAGGAAATGATTCCTCTGTGTTGACCCTCCTCTTTATAGACTGGACACTGGTTCAAGTCCATCTGGTGGGGTCTCCTCGGCCTCCTTGATCAAGAGGACAGGTGACTCACCACAATTACAGGACAGTTTGGAAGATGCTCATAGTTCCCTGGAACTAGTTGACCTAGGAGGGCAAGGAGCAAAAACTGTCCTTTATGTCCCTCTGACCAAATTAGTATAGGCCTCAAAGTATGGCTGTTAAACATCCAAGAAGGTTAGTTCCACCAGTCTGGTACTTTTAATTACTGTGTACCATGTAGATAAATCTTGGGCAAAGACCAGTTGTTCTCAGATAAACCTTACCTAGACACGTATTTCTTGATCCGGTATATATAATTTGTCAGTAGGTTGTTGGAATAATATGGTTCTCTCTGGTTTTTAAAACTAGCTAGGCATTATTATTTATCTCTTGCATTGTCTAACCTTTCCACCATGGTTTCCCCATTTAAGGTGCCCCCATTTTTCCCATTTCTCCCTTAATAATACCCTTCTCTTATG